ACGAAAACGACACGAACACGACTGACACGACCCGTTTGCCAGGCCTATCAAGGTCATTGAGAATATCAAGTTGGATTTTAGGATGGCTGAAAACGAAATTGAGTCCTTGAATTTGTAGAAGAACTTCCTCCACGAATCTTCAGTTCCTTAGCATTAGTTTCCTTAGCGACAGGCTAGAGCGTGCTGTTATAGACGTATTTAACCGAAGAATTATAGAGCGAGAAAGAGGGGTGTGGCAAGCAAGAAAGAGATAGAGTTTGATGTAATTGTGAGGCAGAATAGATCTCAAATTATTGCGCCTTTATTTATAGAAGTAGTGAAGGTAAATTCTTTACCAAATAAATTCTATTTATCGATGTAATAATAATCATTCTTAAATGATAATTTTTTTTTGGGTCTGATGAGTATTTATTTATAGAAATTTTACTCTATATATACAGCATAAAGGAAGCAAGAGATGATGACAGGATGTTGCGGATGGGGAGGATTACCCACATTTTAGAGTTCTTTATTAATTAACACCAAGAGAATAAAAGGGAAAAAACTTTGGTATTTTGTGGAATGTCTTCTTATGCAATCTATTGGCAATTTTTGTTGAAAACAATACTATCTATTAAAGATGCGTGTATTTTAAGTTAGTCTATAAAAGTACCCTATTACACCTAAACTTGTCTTTATTGTTTTAAAATAATAAGTTCCAAAGATGATGACCTTACCGACCGTGCTTCTTAATAATTAACTAGTAATCGGTTAGAAAAATACTTCCCATTTTTATATATTTTAGGAAGGTGGCAGAGAGGTAAGTACACTCTTTCCTTTATATTGCTTTTGAGAAACATGCAAGAGACGTCTGTGAAATGCTTTTGAAGAATTTCCCAGCAATGGGGACAGTAAAAATGAATTATTCCAAGATTAAAATAAATGTTTTGAAGTAATACGATATTATATTCATTAGTGATGGAAAGAATAAATATATACAAGAAAATAGGGTGCACAAGAACAATAATATTACCTAAAACTGAATATGTGTGGTTGAGTACTCTAAATTATCTTTTGCATTGTTAAAGACGTCCAATAATGTATATGAATAACTATCAATTGTTAATAATAATAGATCCTAAAATGTATCTCTTACATGTATCAATAAGAACATGTGTGCGTAAGCAAAACTCTGTCCTCTATTATTTTGCAGTTGCTCAGTGTCATGTCTCACCCAACACCTTCAAATAATTTCTTGATCTTCACCACCATCACCTTCATTTGTCTTTGAAAAAATTACACCTTCAGCTCTTCTCTCTTTGCTACATTGTTTTATATGGAGAACCAGGAGAGCTCACTTAAGGTATGTATTATTAATTAACCATACATAAACAAGTTGAGAATGAGGACATATTAATTCCGTCGAATCTCTCTGGATAGGACAATCTCACTACGTATTCTAACATAAAAGAAGAGTCTTAGCCCTTCTAAATTTATTTATTGTTATGATGAGAAAACTAAATGTCCTTTCTGTTGCCGTTAACATTTTGAAATTAATGGATTAATTCTTGTTTAGAAAATGAAGGCCCCAGCTTAATTAGCAAGATATATTCAAGGATATTTTTTAGCAGGCACTTGCATGTGACTTGTTCCATTTTAAAATCAGTCTCAATAGCACCACTCCTTGTAGATGAATATTATAGTAAGTACCTATATATATGTAAGAATCAATTCTACTAACCATATTAATCTGATTACTATGCATGCATGTCAAGCTAGATGCAGTACATCGCCTCACTGGTTTGAATTCTACTTGTTACTTTAATATAATTAATGACTAACCAGAATCTCAATACAATTGATTAATTCTTATCATGTGTTAGTCATGATTTAATTAAAGACATGTACTTTGTTTTTATACAGGCCCTTTATGCAAAGGGATTCTTATTCTTTTCAAAAAATGGGGATTAGGTGTGAGGTCCACTTCACATCGAACTTTAACGATCTGAACCGTCCATTTTGTAAGTATCGATTTATAGATCATCCTAACAAAAATTCAATTCAATCCAGACCCATTTGCCTATTTAATTATGAAGATAAAATTTCATTTTTTTCTTATATAACAAAGTATTCATCAATTTCTTTGAACTCAATTAAATGTCTTAAACATTTCTGATTTGGCTAATATTTTGCAATGATGATCTATGTGGTACAATTTGAAACATAGACGGTTCGGATCGTTAAAGTTCGATGTGGTGTAGACCCTACAACTAATCCTCATTTTTATAAAAAAATGGGGATCCCTTCCCTTAAAGGTTTTCTTGTTTTATAATACTAATTTATATATTTGGTTTAGTTCAGAGCATACTCCTGAGATGATGAAGCTTTCGTAGTTGTTTTTTTACTTCAAAACGGCAGCAATTTCATTGATAAAGCACAACGATACATGAGAACAAAACATGTAAGCTTTTGCAGGAAGCTTTTGCAGTTAGAGAAGGTAAATTAGCTTGCAGTGGTGCTGATTTCGGTAAGCTTGAGGTGGAAATGTACTGATTCCAAAATTCTTATCGACGTCCTCTCAACCATTTGAAAGCAGTTCACTTTCATGTACCGCAGCCGCAGTTATGCAATTGAGCTACACATTTGGCTGCATCTTTTGTCAGTACAGATCGTATGTGTATGATTTGCAATGAGCTTCGATATGCCAATTTGGTTATTTAACACCTTGGCATCTGACATAAACATTTCTATTCGTATTTACACGTAGGGCCAAATATCCAAGTCAGTCAAATGAACCTCTGGTCAAACCTTTAAGCCAAAACTTCAAAACTTGACCCACGAAATACTATAGCATCAGTCATTTCCGGTAATCTAAAATCGTTATTATATATTTATTGACTCTATTGACATGGAAGTCTTGCAACTTAATCTAAACACTTTCAGTTCGATATAGAAACAATAAGAAACATCTTCAAGTCGACAAATTAAGGTTAAGTAAAGCTTAAATTTGCACTTGGTGAAACGGCGAAGATTTTTTTGTTGCCGTTGGAAAAAGTAGAAGTCCTGCTCCAACTAAGATAGGAACTGGAGATTAAAAAAATTTGAGCTCAGCATAGTCTACTACTAACATCATTAATATTGTCCTTAACTACTTATTATTAGCTAGTTATGTAGTTTTATCACATAAAAACTATATATTATTCTATTATATTTCTGAAAATTTATTACCCTTCAGCACATATATCCAGTAGAATAATCTTGCAACCACATGCTTCTGTATGTACTCCATGATTAGTTTTCATTAAAAGTAAACTCAGTTCAAATTGTGATCTTACTCTTTTGATAATGTACATATAATAACTACATTGAAAAAAGGCATGAAACTCAATTACAGTGGAACAGAGAAGAAGAAGAAGAGATGATGAAGGTTTAGAAGGAAATGAAATCTTATATTGGTATCTTTTAAGTTGAACAGATTACAGAAGAATGAGACAGAGAGAGTTTACAAAATAACTAACTCTATAACCTTCCAACAAACTCTTCTAATAGCTTTCATCAGCTATGTTAATAATTATAAACCAATCTTCCCCATAAATATGTTAATAATTACTTAGGAGATATCTATTTTTTGGGTCAATTTGTTTGAATATATACATAGGTACATAATTACAAGTACAACCATATGTGTAAACCTATTAATATATATGAGGATATCACTAGATTGTAATACAAGCGAAGAAGAATATCACTAAATCGTAATAAACTTAATTAGCCCCAGTTTGGGGTTGAGTTGATTTTAAAAAAAGCTCCTATGAAAAAAAGCTGGGAGTGTTTTTGATGTTTGGTAAACTTAAAAAAAATGGCTTATTTTGGAAGCTGCTGTGAGAATAAGCTGAAATCAAAGGAAAAAGCTGAAGCTGCAATTTGTAGCTTTGGAAAACTGGCTTTTTTTCAAAGCACATAGAACTACAGTGCTCATTTAATGAAAAGATCCACTATCAGACTGCTTTTTTTTCCAAAAGCACTTTTACAAAAAAGTTTACCAAACACTCTGCTGATTTATTTCACAGCCGTTTATTCTCACAGCACAGCCGCTTATTCTCACAGCAGCTTTTTTTCAAAGCACAGCAATACCAAACCAGCCCTTAGAAGGACATAAGAATCTAAATTGGCAAGTCCTACAATTGTTCTGTTGCAGGTTTTGTGAAAACAAAAGGCAAAAATCTTATCAAAGAATGTAATCTGATGTTGTATAAATTATGTTTGACAACCAGTGGTTAAAAATGATATAAAGGAGTGAAAGGAAAGATCAAAATATAAACCTGGAGCAATCTGCTGCATGATCACCATTGCTTTTCCTCTTTTTCTTTCTTTAATTATGGGGGTGTTTTCTTCTCTTTCCAATATTGTATGTGTCTTGGTCCTTCGGTCATGTGTTCTAAATATGGTTTTTAGGTACTTGCCAGAAGTTCAACAACGGACGGCTTCCTGTCAACCCAGAAGACTCAATATTCGGTACACGTGTATATCTTTGGAATATGAGAGAAACAAAAGAATAAATACAAAATTGTCAAGGCCTGGCTACCTCTCTGCTAAATAATTTTTTAGCCTCTTAATCAAAATTTACTGTTCAGTGAGAATTATACTTGTAGTTGTTTATGAGCTTTGTTGACCGATATGATATGTTAATTAGTTGGAAAAATTAATTTGTTTAATACAATTCCATCTCCTTAATGGCCCTAATTGACGGCTTAATTGTAGAACGTATTATCTTATTGTGTGACGGTCACACTCCAAAAAATTTCGTTCTCTAATGAAATAATAATGATTATGCATGAAATCATGCGTTTTGCTTGATTGTTGAGGTTAAACTAATTTAAGTACAAATTAAGGAGGAGGAACTGAAGCATCTTGGCACTCTTTCATTTGAGGAGATTTCAGTCAGATTGTTTCAGTTTGTCACTAAGCACCCTCAACTTACAAGAGGGACTCATCAGATCAGGACCTCGCAACAGTGATTTAATATATATTAAACCATAATTGCTTCCCCCTCCAAAGATAAAAACAGAGAAAAAAATATAATACTTCTCGTTTCAGTGAATACTGACTGAAAGCCAACCAGAAATACTAAACAAAAAGAAGAAGTACAGCTACCATTTTATCAGGCAAGGCATAGAGTACTCGCCACTTTGATTACCTGCCAATCAAACAGACACCACCCTAAGCAACCTCTCAGTCTTCCATGGCTCAGATCAGTCCATGTACTTTTCAGTCTCCAACTTAAACATATACACTTAAATATTATAGCACTACTTCTTTCATAACCCATCTACTTTCAAATTTTTCCTCTTTTTTTTTTGGAATTTTGATTTTTCTTTCAATTGAGCCTTGCTGCAGAGAGCAGTGCAACAATGGAACAAGCACGGTACTGGATGTGGGCGAAGCGCAAACACAACGGCTTGAGTTCATCTAATCACGATCATCATCTTCAAGTGCCAATTTCAAACGATGATTCATGGGAAGAACAAGCTTTCGCCGAAGATGCGGCAGGGCCTCTCGGAGGCTGCATATGGCCTCCGCGATCTTATTCTTGCAGTTTCTGTAGGAGAGAATTCCGTTCAGCTCAAGCTCTTGGTGGCCACATGAATGTTCACAGGAGAGACAGGGCTATACTAAAGCAGTCTCCAAATGACGAAACTGCCCGTCACAACCACCTTCATCATCATCAGGATCATGATCATTCTCTCCAAAATAGTGCTAATAATCCCTTTTCATCATCTTTGGGTAGTTTTCAATTCTCATCTCATCAAGTTTGTGCCCAGGTTTACAACCCTAAAAGCCCTATTGCAACATCATCACCGTCCTCAGTTTCTAGGGTTTCAGCTCAGTTACCATGCAAAAAAAATTGTGCTGAACAAACCCTGATCCCACCTTCTTCTTCTGCGTCTTCTCCTCAATCTTGGTCTGTCATGGGCATAAACAGATATTATAAAAAAAGATCTGCCGAGAGAGATCATATCAAAGGAGACAAGATTTCGAGAAAGGTGGAATCTAGTTCATGTAGGGAAAAGGGTGATCACCATGTCGCAAATAGTGATCTTAATTTATCTGTGAGTTTGAATTTGGTTGTCCGCTGTGAGCATACTTCTGCCTCCGATGACGGCGATGAAGCTATAGTTAGCAGCAAGAGGAGAAAAACGGATGACGTCCCATCATCGATACCCTTCTTCCTAAAATCAGGATCTGTTGATAAAGTGCATCATGTCCAATCAGCTGAAGGGTTTGAAATTAGCTCCAGCTCCATAGAAGACTTAGATCTTGAGCTCAGGCTTGGTGACCGACCTAAGGTAATTAAAGTTCATAAGTAGCAGAGAGACGCATCATCAACTGCTGATCGTATAAACGTATACTTAATTGCTTGACCTTGTGCTGGTCATTTCTGTTTGATGAAATCCTCCTCAATGTGCACCTTTTTTTTCGCCTTTCCTCTTTGAGGCCAAGGCCTCTGTCTTTTTTTAATTTGATTTCTTGGAGTGCTGTATGAATTTGTTTAGGGTGTAACAACAACCATATGTGAGTTAAAGGAAAGGAAGAAATTAATTACAATTCGTCTTTGTTGGTAATCACAATGCATCTCAGCTTACTCGGAGTTACAACTTCCTACGAGCACATTGTATATAATTGTTTGCTCCTTGACAGGATCCATACCCATTAATATGTTCATTAAAAATAGTTAAGAAAATGAGATTAGGATTCTTATCCCCTTTCAAGTAAAACCATTATCTTCGTGTAGCTTTGTTTGCTCAGTTATTGAAATGAAATTGATACCAGTATATAACTTACTTGTATGTGCGAACAGTTATGCATATAATTGAGATTTGTTTTTTCAAGACATTCCTCATGGCCACAATGGGAGCTTCAACTCCTTTCTCTACTCTAAATATCAAATGTGACTAGAATTAACTTAACTTGAGCTGAGCTTAACCAAAGCAACTGCTCTCACTCTCCATCCAAGTTTGAATTCCTCTACTTGTAGTTTAGATGAATTGAATATATGTAGACTTTGGTTTGGTTGAAAAAAAAAAAAAAAAAAAAAAAAAAAAAACCTTTGAGGTAAACTTGTTATAGGCTAACTAAGCAGTTAATTTGATTATAATCATGATATCAACAACATGCTGAGTGCAGACAAGAGTTTAGGTTAGAGAGAGAGAGGAGTGGTAGAGTTTTTGTTTGTGGGGCTTGAAGGGTGAAGAAAATGACTAAAAACTGCATGGAATATCGTGACTCTTTTTCCCATTCAATACCTCACTGACATTCCAGGCCATAGAGAACTCAACTTACCCACACAAAAAATTAACTCAGACTCGAGAGAGAGAGAGATTTTCAAAGCCACATAAAGTCAGATACTTCCCAACATCGATTCTCTTTTCTCTTGTATTATTATCATCACCCCCGTCAGATCTCTTTTGTTTCAGTTTTCTGTATCCTTTCCCCGCTAAAATCCATTTGCTTGTGTTATCTGTCTCACTTTTTTATCTCTCCCCTCGTCTTCTCAAATCTGTCCAAAATTGGCACCAACTCTATGGAATCAATCTAATTAACTATTCATCACCATTACATTTTATAGTTAAAACCAACTTTTTTTAATCACAAAAGAGAATATTATTGTCTCACCACCTCTTTTGGATCTGCTTGTGGTATGCATCGTATAGTTTACAAAACCCTAATTCCGGATTTTATATTTACAAACAACATCAAATTAATTATATAAACCCAAACCCTAGCGAGGTACGCACAGTGCTCAACTTCTTGCAGGACACAAGGGTGATCATTCTGCTGGGTTCTTTAATTTTCTGCTTTTATCTAACACTAGGACCAGTTTAGGATTGTTGTGTTTTTTTATAAACTATTTTTTATGTGCTTTAAGAATAATCAAGTATAAAATAAAGCAGAAGAGCATTTAATAAATTGTATTTTAAAAGTGATGTGAGTATGAAAAAACAGTGTAATGCGTTTGGTAAAAATTTAATATAAAAGTGAGATAATTGTATATAATGAAAAAAAAAAAGATATGATAGTTGAGGGAGTGGCAATGACTGCAGTGGTGATGGTGGTGGTGCTAGCGGCAATGGTAAGGGTATATTGGTAGTGCCAGTAGTGGTGGTGGTGGTGCAGGTGATGTGGTTGTGGTAGCGGTTGTGGTGGTATTGTTGGTGATGGTGGCAACAATGGTGGTTGTAATGGTGGTGGTGGTGAAAGGTTTGTGATTGTAGTTGGTGGTCGTGGTCACTTTTGTTCTACAAGGATAAAATCAGTGTAAATCATGTCATTTTTAACAAAACTAATGAGGGCATTACAATAATTGAAAATGTTCTTTAGGGGCTCGAGTCAGTTTTTTTTTTATGAAAACAGCTTTTAAAGGCAATCAATAGGCAGTTTTAATAAAATGTTGTTAATAGGCCATTGCTTTTAAAATAAATAAGATATTTTAGTTTTGCCAATATTTTTTATTGCTTAACTCTAAAGCAAAATAACTTTTGGTGAAAAAAAAAAAAAAAACCAATACCAAACAGAATTTGAACTGTACCGACTTGACTTGAATGAGTTTCACAGGGAAAAATATGAAAACGTCAATTATATGGAAGGAATGAATTTAAGTCACACCCAACAATTATATTCCACAAAAGGATATGAAATGAAGATTGTTTTAATGATTTGAGAAGCTTTCGATGTGGGACTTTTTATTCTACGTTGCATGTGAAAACGAAAGGCAGAATAGAAATTTAAAACAACCAATGCATGGTTGTGTAATGTGCATTCAAGGACGGGGCTTGTTAATTTAGGGGAAGTGAGATTGTTTGCTTCGGCTTCTACGAAGTGCTACATCTATGTAAAACGGTTTTAATGGTGATTGGTTGGGTTTTGTCTTGATATATTAAGGTATGAGTTGGATAGGTCTGATAGTTTTACAGAGAAGTTTTGAAGGGAAGTGGCAGTGGTGCACATGGGGTTTCAGATGTCGTTTTTCTCTTCTCTATTTAAGGGCCGGGGGTATTATATAGAATTGAGTGAGAGAATGAAATATTATTCTGGTCAAAGAATTTTGAAGAATAAATTCTGGGGTTATTAGGTAGGTCTGTTGGGAGTAATTGTTTATATATTGTTCGACAATTAAGGGTATATTTGTATGGGAAGGAGTCCCAGCTCTCACGAGCTCGCTAAGTATCCATGCTAGCTATTTGTATATTAAATCACAAAAGAAAACTTAAACACTGGTCTTTGAATTTCGATGCAATTACGATTTTACTAAATATTTGTAAGTATTAGTCTCTAAAGTTGTTACGATTAGAACAATAGCTCTTTTGAGCAAAATTGTTAGAATTTCTGACTCTTATTTGCCTCTCCAAACAAAAGTTCTAACAATGTAACAAAAACCACTACTTCCCATTGTTAAACTTAATGGTTTCGGGGCTGACGTTTTAGTTTTAAGAGTGGTTTTAATATAAGAAAAGAAAAAGAATGTAGGTGTCTAATTTTCATTGGTTACTCCACATTTCACTGCTGAGGTGGGGTTCCGGCACCTGAAAATTTTCTCCTAGAGTGCTTGGCGAAATTTAGGCCTTGGTGCCTGATAGTTGGGGGCTTTTGCCATTCAGTGTACGGGTATGCTTACCCATTAGGGTTGAGGTATTAATGAACTAACGTCAACAGGGGTATTTTTGTCACATTGAGCGCATAATTCACATGGCACATTTTAATTTGTGTGGTTAATTTATGTCTCCACAGTTGAGTTGAGGTTGATTCCTATACGTGGGAATTAAGCACCTAAACTGGAATCTTATAACGATGTTGCTGGTGTGAATTGGATGAATATGGTTTCTATGCATCGATTGTTGGACTCTTGAGTTTGTTGTGCACTGAATCCATGATTATATTGTATTATTACAAATTAATTCATAATCTATAATTTGTAGAATCTATATGGGCCTGAATATGTACACACAAAGATTAAGGTACAGTAGCCCGATACAAGATTAATACACACCACGATCTAAGGCCCAAAATCCTCCCTAGCTGAAAACATTTATCAAGTTGAAAACTTCCATTTTTAAGAGAAATTATTATTGTTAAGGAAAAGGGGAAGGATTCTAGGATTTGAAACCATTACATAAACTTAGGGGAGATAAATATTTGAACTTGAGATAGATAGAAACTCAACATCTTACCCATTAAAAAAATTTAACTTTCAACACATGTAAATTAACATATGGCATCCTTATAGTAGCTATCTAATATCACAACCAGGGGTGGAGCCACTTGAGGACTAGGAGAGGTCCGGGCCTACCCTGAAGTTTTTCATTTTGTAGCTTCAATTTGTGTGCTTTCGGTTGAATACTCTGCATTCTTCAACTTATGTGTATTTGCTCCTAGCTAACTTTATTGTGTTTCTCTAATTGACAAAAAAATAATGTGTTTAACTGTTGAGTTATAGTGTTATGAAACTAAAGCCTTATATCAATTAGCCTTCCTTAATTAGTTTACTATTTTGTATGATAGAGTGTTGTTTTATAGTGAAACCATGCAAATATGGAATAGAGGAAGAGTTTATCTTGAAAGACAATTTCATTACTACATTTTGAGCCATGATTATTAATTTTTGTTCAACTTCAAAGTAGGATCCGGTGCCTATGATATAATTATCTCAATTTTTTTTTCATGACTTCATTGCTCTCTTTTGATTAAAATTTTTCATTCCTCTATAAAAATGAATATTTTTCTTCCATTAGTTATATTACATCCTGTCCAATTTCTTTCATATGGCTATGACTATGTTCCTATACCATGCATCACAAGCACATGCACACACATAGTTTAACTGCTCTCTATATCTTGAACAAAAATATGCATACTTTAAAACCATCTCCAAAGGAAATGTCAAATTATAAGATTCAAATTACAATTGGGCTAATGTTGCAATTTGAAGTCTTATGTCAAAAATGTTGTAATCATGCTTTTTGAAAGGAAAAGAAGTTTGTGGATAAAAAAAAACAAAACAAAAACTAAGGATATAAAGTTTGTCGTTAATTTCGTCAAAAAAAAGTTATTTTGTACGTAATTATGATTCTATGACACCAGTTTCTGCTAGTACAAGAAGCACACAAAATAAACTTTGTAAGCAACAGTCCCTTTACACGAGGTGCCCGCATGTGCGGACATGCGTCGGCTTGTTTTTCTTCTTTCTCGCTGCTTGGGCTTGGGGAGAGACTATTATGGCCCCCCTTCTTGCCATTGGCTCGTTCAGTACTAGGTTGGAATGTCTCCACTTGTTTTGTTTTTGGACAAAGGAATGTCTCCACTTGAAGGTCAGAATTTCCATTTTGGGTAGAATCCAATTTGACCTGGGCTAAATTACTACCATTAGACTTGCTCTAATATCCATCCCTGAGCACAATGATTCGTAGGACTGGGAATTTCTGTGCAGCCCAAATCCATTGTAGTTTGCTAAAAACGATACAATGAATCGTAGGATTGGGCTTATCTTTATCTTCATAAACGATATATATGAGATTTTTTTTAATTTTTTTTTAACTACACCTCCTAAAACTTGGTTCCACCTAAACTT